CAGTGGGAGATTTCTTCTGTGAACTGTTGAACAATTTAAAAAAATCGTAGCGTGCGCGTTAACTAAAAGCCAAATTCTTCTGTCTCTCATTCCCCATTAGCAGCCATTTGCATGTACATTGAGCACTATCTAACAGGAAAAGGTCGCTACGTTATACTCGCTGGGCGTAACCTCCTAGGTTTTAGAAAGGTTTAGCGAGCGTTGGGCCGCAGTGCCATGAATACAGTGAAGCAGTATATGCCATGAGCTCAAGGTAATTAAAGGTGCGAAGTAGGCACGAAGCGCAAGCCGTAAGAAAGTAAAAGCCGAATTCTCCCGGCTCTCATTCCTCATTAGCAGCCGTTGGCATGTACATTGAGCACTATCTGACAAGAAAGGGTTGCTACGTTATACTCGCTGGGCGTAACCTCCTAGGTTTTAAAAAGGTTTAGCGAGCGTTGGGCCGCAGTGTCATGAATACAGTGAACTAGTATATACCATGAACTCGAGGTGGTTAAAGGTGGGAAGTAGACACGAAGCTAAGGTTAAAGCTTGGGCGAGTTGGTTCAAATACATGATTAAAAACACAGCGCAAACAACGGCAGGAAGAAAGGAAGAGACAGGACAGAGCGCTGGACACGAAGCGCACGAAGCGCAAGCCGTAAGAAAGTGTGCGTGTGCCAACTCTCGTTTAGTCCTTGGAATGTCCGCTGGATTGCGGTGCTTCTATATCGGGAATATATGATAAAAAGATGTCAGATGGTGGTACTTGGACTGTTGAATAGATGGATGAACGGACACACAGACAGATGCATGGCCAAGCGGAAGCAAGAACGAATGAACGGACGGAAGCTTCACCCCACTCTCCATCATTCACTCCGTGGATATGCTGCCATTTTTTTTTTAGGGGCGAAGCACCTTAAAATTGCACGTTGTTCCTCCGTCTATGAAAGGCCACCCGCGGCGTCTACAGCAGACTTAGCGCAAGTGCATGTGAACAAACTGAAACATCTGTGAACAACAAAAAGGTTACCACAAGACTGTTTGTTAACCTGAACAAGCTAACTAAAAGGTCAAAACGACGCAAGAACGTCGACAGTTTACAACCAATCAATTAAAGTACATCACATAACAAAATGCTAACAAAAGCAAAATAAAGGGGTGCTAACCAGATAAAAATAAAAGGTCATTACTTCGTAAAAAAAGCAAAACAGCTGTACTAATACGAGGTCTTTTCAAATTTACTAGCGGAGTAAGTCGTTGTTTTGGTTCTTCTCCACTGTGAATTTTCGGGGACGGCTTTAATAAGCTCTCCCGTAGTAGAGTACCCTGTACTCTAAATCGTAACCCTCTGTTTTCTAATCCCCCCCCCTTAATTCATTGGAACTTCTCTACCTTTTGGTGTTCGAAAGGGCGGCTTTCAGCTCTCCCATAGTAGAGTACCGAGTACTCTAAATCGTTTACCACTTTTTTTAAACACGCTTAATTCATTTTCTTTTTCGGAAAGCCATGGCGTCTTGATGTTCGCGTCCTGCAGGACGCGCGCTCAAGATCAGATTTGTCACGTGCAATACGTGTGTCACTCACGGCGTCTAGTCCTGAAGATTGGGATGCGTTTAGAACACAGTGGCGCCTGCACTGCGCAGTAGAGGGGCATTCGTTTTGTCGACGCGTTTCTGAAGAGCTTGCTGATACCGCGATGAAGTTACGCATTGCTTTGCGCGCCGAGACGCCTTCTCCTCTGATGCGAGCGTGGCAGCGTGAACTGCGTGAACGCTTTCAACGCTTGACTGCTGCTTCGTTCCTGGCGGCAGCAGCATGGCGCTGTAGACACAACCCATGTGCACATCCCGAGGTGCTGCGCTACGCGAGACATTCGTTTTTTTTGGGCAATCACCGCCATCTGTCTCTATGACAGCACAAATACCACCTGCGCAGTGGCTTCCTACGCGTGATCGATCTGTTTTCTTGGCGCATTTTGAAGCAATGTCATGTTCGGCCATGCGGAATAACTGTGATGAAACACCGCAAATGCTTAGAAGTTTGCCCCGTATTCCTCAAGAAGCTGCGGATTGCCTGCACATCCCTCCGTCGGCTGAAGAGGTAAAAGCGGCACTGAAATCTATGAAACGTGGAAAGACCCCTGGGCCAGACAGTTTTCCTGTTGAGTTTTACTTGACATTTTGGATGAGATTGGAGCTACCTTGACCGCGGTAATCCGGCGATGCTACGAGCACGGTGTCTTTCCATCAAGTTTTCGAGATGGACGCATTGTGCTTATTCCAAAGGGTGATGCTTCCTCTGTTAATCCTGAAGATCGGAGACCTAGCACGCTCCTCAACGTTGACTATACGATGTTCGCGGCGGTAGCCGTTCAACGCTTGAGGGGTCTGTTGAACACCCTAGTAGTTCATCACCAGACTTCATCAGTGCTTGGACGAGAAATACACAGCTTGTCATATACCACACGGGATATCATAGCCTATACTCTGTCGCGATATGCGCGTGGTATCCTTGTGTCTTTGGACCAGGAAAAAGCGTTTGACCGACTAGAGCACGCGTATATCCTTAATGTGCTCACAGCCTTCGGCTTTTCTCATTCGTTTGTGGAAATGATTAAAAATACGTACACTGGTCTGAGAAGCACACTAGTTCTGGATGGTTGGGAAAGTGCCGCCTTTTCCATAACACGTTGGGTCCGTCAGGGATGTCCATTGTCTCCTGTGCTATTTGTCCTCAGCCTTCAGCTATGCTTGCGTGCTCTTGACGCGGATTCACGTGTCCGGGGTCTTGCGCTTTCTGGTAGCGGTGTCCTGAAAGTCACAGCTTTCGCTGATGATATAACCTTGTACCTTTCAGATGAATATAGCCTTTCACGCAGCCTGCGTGTATTTTCCCAGTATGGCGACATTTCAGGTGCAGCGTCGAACATCTCCAAATCCCGGTATTTCTTCATTGGCTCTCCGAACTTCAGGCTTAGCGCCGGTTCTCCCATTCAGCCGGCCGCGTCCCTTCGTATTTTAGGTATTTTATACAAACACTACGGCATTTGCGAATCTGTTTGGTTAAACGCTCTCGAAGAAGTAAGACTGAACATTCAGGATGCACGGGATTTTGACTTCCCTCTTTTTGAGCGGAGGTACCTAGCGCAGACTGTATTTTGCGGTCGCATCTGGTACCTTTCTCACGTCGCGCAACCATCTTTACGTATCGTGGGATCACTGCAGTCTGCTTTGTGTTCTTTTTTTTTTTTTTTTTTGGTCAAGCGGCACTGAGTTGGTCTCTCGCGCGGCACTGGGACAGCAGCGTTCTCAGGGAGGCTTTGCTTTCCCTTCAGTGTCCATACGCTGTCGGCTGCTGGCACTGCGCTTCCTATTTGCGCCTAGTGCACGGGGAGGAATCTCCCGCACGAACGCTTGCATATTACTGGGTACTCACCTTCGGCATTTGATGCCTAATGTGCAACTTAACAGGGGGCCGCAGTCAATAACACTTCCTGCGTTTTATGCAACAACTGTTGCATTTTTTCGCCATGTCAAGTCGAGCTGTCCTGGCATAGATGTTTTGAACAACCACATAGTTGAGACAACTGCTGCTTTGTTGCTCCCGTTGGTCCCGCCAGCCCGCCGTGCTCGCTTTAGACGGGTGTCTTGGAGCACCTCAACGGCTTCTTTTCTGCCTGGACACCTCCGAGACTTCATGTGGCGCCTGGGATGGGGTGTGCTTCCCCCTCTCTACCACCTCGAAAGGTGGAGAATAGTCCGGTCAGCAACATGTCCGAACTGCTCCCTTCGGGAAACAAATCAGCATTTTCTTAGGCATTGTGTCATTGCTCGCGTTTTTTGGAGAGCCGTACATGCCGGCTTTCACTGCCTCAGAGTAAATCACTTCGTTTCTTCTGGGCGTTGTTCGCGAGGCCGCTTCGTTTGTCTTCTCATTGTTGCCGGCTCTTTCTGCCTCTGGCGCAACCACTGCGAGGCGGTTGCAGCAGGCCGCCGCCGCCGCGCGCACTACCCGATCCTAGAGCGATTGTACTTGGAGCTGCTGTCTGTTTTGTCGGAGGAGCTCTTCTTCCTCGGTGAAGAAGAATTTCTTCGGCACTGGTCTTGCCCTTTTGTGTCGGTCTATGACGGACGAGTGAAACTTGTCTTTCGGCCGACCTGGTATTGGTAGGCTGATCTGTCGATGCGCCGGCAGAAATGACATGCCAACATGTAAATATGCAAAATGTACATAATAATGTTTTATTTGTGTCTCTTGTTTACCTTGAAGTATTTTTTGTGGTTGTGTTTGTGTGAACCATCGAATGTACATGTTCTTTCAACGTCATCTCATATCCATGTTCATGTAAATGACGTCTGTTTTGTCATCATCGTTAGAGTATGTCTAAGAAGGAAATGTTCTGTTGAGTGTTATTGACGTTTGTGGCAATAAATTTTTTCTAAACAATTTATTTAAGCATACATAATTGTAGTCTAGCAACCGGAGGACGATCCCTTGTGCTTTGACCACTTGTCACGATTCCCTTCATGGAGATGCGTAGATTTTAAAACAAAAGTATCCTGGCTGAGCGGTGGCGAGCCACCCTTCGCAGCCCACGCATAGAGTGACATACGTTTACTATGTTACTCTATGGCCCACATGCAGCGGACCAAACCTGGGCTGTCCAGCGAGCCAGAGCTATCGCCGAGGACATCGCACGATGCTCCGTGGACGATGGCTCCTGGAGGCCTAGCCCTGGCCAGTGATTCCTCGTTAGAGCCTAAATAAAGTTTTTTACTTACCTAGTCGTTGGACCCCTATTTACGTTATACTTTTATATCACATGTATTGAATATAACTATCAACTTGGAGCAGGACCATCAATATATATTTTTAGGAGAACTAAAACCAGAAGTAAATGTTGGAATGGATATGCTGGGACGAAAAGCAAGAGCTTCATCCGGTGCTCATGCCAGTAAAGCATTGTTCACTGCTGATGGAAAAGATTACATATTTTCTTGTTCTCTTTCTATTTCTAGCATTGTCTGAAGATGAAGCACTGGCTCAATGCGTGCTCTTCTTCCTTGCTGGTCAAGACACGACGTCTTCTGTCATCGCGTTCGCCATTTACTCGTTGGCGCTGAACCCCGATGTACAGGCCAAGCTTCGCAATGAAGCGGACGAATGCTTTGCTACGCATGTAAGTATACCACTGATTAAACTTTACACAACATGCACTCGGTGCCATTTATTTTGGGGACAAGACACATTAGAAGAAGAATTATATTGCTTACCTTGCTATCCGTGCGCTTGCACCAGAACGTGGCTGCAGAAACCACGCGGTGCAGCACCGTTTTGCTGAATTGACATTAAAACTGAACTTAAATGCGGCTTCACGGAGAACACGCATTCCACAAATTTTTGATGCTTTGGCCGCCTCACGGTCACCCAGTAGCAGCCAGACAACCTTTCCCATCTTTTCCGTGAAAGCTTATCGTATTGCGTGCGGGGAAAGGGAACTGGCGCGAAGGTGCACGATCGAGCCGCACAGTCGCTGAAATAAAGTTAGTTGTTGCTTGTCCTTCAGAGACGCACTATACTCGCTTTTCTGTGCTGATTTCCAGCCGCGCTCGCATCCCGCACAACATGGGTGACCTGATGTTGACTATGTTTTGACCTAATCGAAGAGAAATGAGATTAAGCGATCTGTTCGCATGCTTCGGCATTAAAGATTAATCTGAACATGACGAAATCCCGTGTTTGAGTGCGATCAAATGGGGCTTGTCTAGCCAATGCATCTCTAGCGGTAGCGGCAACTACCACGGAAAGCATGCTGTTCATACCGACCGGTGGAGGGGTGTGTGGGAGAGGCGAACTATCTACGTTCCATGTGTTAGGACGAAGCGGCAGAAATCGGCGTTGGCTGATCTCGAAGGTGAAACCTGTGCGCTGATTCAACTGTATTTATTTCTACCGGCAGGAATAGAGTTATCGCTTTAATATCATCCGTCGCAGACTGCGGTATATAAAATATAACGACACAGCGCGTAGCAGTAACATAGTACCTCAACTATACCTTGTGCGTACTTAATTTCTTCTAAGTGCTAGTAGTGAAAATGGACGTTGTGCTGTTTGCAATATGCCCAACTATCACTGAACAATCTTCTATTGGTCTAACAGTGATTACACTATGAGTCCACCGATTACTACAGTGATGGGTGTACGACATTGGACGAGTTTGTACGTCAGATAGGTTCAATGACGCAGGTGCTCGCCCCTAATTTGTTATTTTGTTGACAGATTTTAATTCATTGTTCGTATTACGTGATTAAACGGCGATTAAAACCAGTGCCGATTGTACGCGCGCTTTTGTAAGCGATTAACGCGTGCATTGATCCGTTAGTGTATTCGAGCATGGCCGGTATTTCTGGTCATTCTTTCGTCAGTTAGAGCATTGCGTGAATAAATGTAGTTGTCGTCGAATATACAAGCATCGTCCACTTATGCTTACAGGGAAAGGAGCCAAGCCTCGACGCGATTTCCAAGTTGCCGTACTTACACTGCGTTGTGTCGGAGACCTTGAGGATGTATCCACCGGCTCCTCGGTAAGTTCTACTCAGCAGCCGTGCACAGATAGGTGCAGTTGCCAGAGTTGCCGTAGAAATTTTAAAATTAGGACACGTATACTATCCACGTCAAACAAAACCCGAGCAAGGGCAAACCTTTGCGATGGTATATAGTGAGCGCCGTCCACGTATCACCATGAACAGGCACGATGCGCAGAGCTGCCGAACAGGATGCGCGCCTGTTGATGACTGATTTGTGACGTTTGGCGTCCCAAAACCACCATATGATTATGAGAGACGCCGTAGTGGAGGGCTCCAGAAATTTTGACCACCTGGGGCTCTTTAACGTGCACCCAAATCTGAGCACACGGGCCTACAACATTTCCGCCTCCATCGGAAATGCAGCCACAGCAGCCGGGATTCGATCCCGCGGCCTGCGGATCAGCAGCCGAGTACCTTAGCCACTAGACCACCAAGGGAGGGGGGGGGGGGGGGGGGGCATGCGCGCGCCTGTCAACGGGGATAACCTGATAACCGGGGCGTATAGCATATACTATACGAACACTAAGGCCTGCCGCAGTTCAGGTTTCATTTGACGCGGATAGTACATTGCAACCGTCACGAAGGTATCGTCTATATACTGAAGGAATACTGACAATATTTTTTAAGTCGTTGGTTTGGCGAGTATGTACTGCGTGCATGATCGCACCTTTTGCTCATTTATTTTATTATTTTTGTATCTGGTCATTTCTGCTCTCGGGCCTTGATAGAAACATCTGTTTGATATTTTTTTTCCCTCCTGCCAAACTCTCTAATTATTGCAGAAGGCCACGACAATCGCATTTTGTGAATTTTATCCAAGCGACTGCGCTCCGCGCAGTCGCTTTATTTCGAGAGACAATTCATGCGCCCTGACCCGCAGGTCGCGGGTTCGAATCCCGGCTGCGGCGGCTGCATTTCTGATGGAGGCGGAAATGTTGTAGGCCCGTGTGCTCAGATTTGGGTGCACGTTAAAGAACCCCAGGTGGTCAAAATTTCCGGAGCCCTCCACTACGGCGTCTCCCATAATCATATGGTGGTTTTGGAACGTTAAACCCCACATATCAATCAATCAAATCAATCACAATTCATGCGCCCCGCGCCAGCGTCTGTCTAATCCCCTTCATACGCGAAGTGGTGCAATATTGCCCAAGGTCAATATTTCACACACTGACTTTTCCGATTGGTCCTTCACACTGCGGAACGGTGCCTCGGCCTCGTGGTGATGCACTTCTGGCTATGTCGACTACACAGTCTGCATTGTTCCATATTCTTGTGTTGGCCTCTGCTGCTGTGGTAGAGTCCTAGACTACCGGAACCAGCGCTATTGCCCGAATTAAAGCCTCCGAGGTGAACAGTTGTTTCACAATTTTTCCACCAAGGCAAGGGTGCATACTCCGCCAGTGCATCACACCGCTCGTACCGCGCTTTACCCCTGCAGACCGCAATGAGACAAGTGACAGGTGGGGAAAGCCTTGCTCGATCGTTGGCTGCGTGCCGTAGACGTAATTTCTGGCGTTTTATTACGCTTCCGAAGTTGGCGTCGTCACGGTGAAGAGCTACGTATACCCCTCTTCGTTGCTGAGGAAATCGGGAAAGCCGAGCGAGAAACGAAAATTTGCCAAAGCGGGCTGTTCTAAACTCTGTATACATTTCATATTCACAAAGTTTTCGCGGCCGCATGTTAACAACGTAGGAGTGCGCAGTCATTTCTCTCTCTCAAATTTTTGTCTTCAATATTACTGGCCCTTTAAAGACCTAAATTCAATCACCACACTCTTTCGTTACCACGCGAAAGTGGTTGTTTTTCATACGTCTTTTTCAATGCTCTTTCAAAAAATATACAATGTAGAGCAACAAAAATACTTTAGATTGAGTAAAAATGTGGAAAATGTGGAATTTTCTGGTGCCAGCTGGCAAACAGTCTTACACAAAAAAAAACACTCCATATGCATGCATATTTCAAACGAAGAAAATTTAGAATATAAACTATGTAGATGATCGACCCAAACACAGTATAAAAATGATGAATGTTGTACAAAACCTTTCTCTTCCCATGAACAAAGAAAATCAGAACTGAGAAGCCGCTTCGTTACTCGTGTCACGCAGTGCAGCATTGCATGGTTTTTCGTGAGACACAATTGAACTCTTACACTTTTCTCAGTAAATGTTTGTTGTCTTGTAATGGAAATCTCCAGGTATTACAATATACATGAATACCCGTGATGTGAATAATCCCTCTATAAATGAAATGTCGAATTAACTTCCCTATTTCTTCGCCTAGCGTCACCTCTTTCCACGAGCCACCTCGCTACGCATAGGTTGGCGTTCCAATATATGGATCCAAGCATGTTTGCTTGCATTTTTGCACATCATAAATAAGAACAGAACAATATCGCGCGCGGTCCTAAAATGTTTCGTGCTGCTCTGTACCTAGGCGCATGGTGTGTTGTGGTGACCTTCTTGTCGTGACGAAAAGCTCTGCAGCCGGCGCCATCACGTCGCGCCCGAGCGACGTGTGGATCTCGCACGTAAACACAGTAGCTATGAGATTGTGCACAAATGTCAGAACCTATACGCACTCGCGGCGGAGAAGACGACTTGAGGAGCCCCGCCGCGGTGGTCTAGTGGCTAAGGTATACTCGGCTGCTGACCCGCAGGTCACGGGATCGAGTCCCGCCTGCGGCGGCTGCGTTTACGATGGAGGCGGAAATGTTGTGGGCCCGTGTGCTCAGATTTGGGTGCACGTTAAACAACCCCAGGTGGTCGAAATTTCCGAAGCCCTCCACTACGGCGTCTCTCATAATCATATGGTGGTTTTGGGACGTTAAACCCCACATATCAATCAAATCATCAGACGACTTGAGGAAGCAAACAGAACAAACCCATGAATGGCTGCGGATGTCACAGGCTGGCGCAAAACATCGCTGCCACAAAACTTGAAGCTGAGGTGCTGTCATCTTTGAACTCTAAGTTCGTCCTTACTCAATTCAGGAAAGGTTGCAAGACAGGTTCAAGCAGCACACGTGTTTTACAGCGCTGGTGTGCACACATGCGCACGTGGCGACGACGTCATAGGAGCGACTAGTGACACCAGACTCTGGGTCTGATATAACGATGCAAGCAAAACCAAAGCTGCTGGAAACTTTCAGAGAAGGCCGCTTTGACACTTTAAACACGCGGCGGACCTTCGTAAATATTTTTTGTTGACCAACTTTTTCTTGACTACTTGGAAGAGCTGTCTATTGAAAAGATTGCACAAATTTCTGGCAATTATTACTGCTCAACATAATCAAACTGCGAAGCTGACACTTTAATTCAATACTTGGCTTGCAAGAGTTCTTTTCATTACAGAACTTCAATGTTACTGCAGCGTAATCACGAGGGGCACGCACTTCTGTCAAGATCGCCAGTCTAGTGCACTTTTCCAACTGTACACGCAGATTGGTTCGCGCAGAGGTCTGTACAAAATCACAGTGTTACCAAAGCGAGAAAATTCTAATTGATTCTGAGAGTTGAGTGACTGGACTTACTAGAAAGTGCTGGGTGCCCGAGAAACAAATTTAACATCCAAAAATAGACGACCCAAAAGCATCGATTATCGGTGATCGATTTGACTAGGCGTGGTAACAAAAGAGTTAAGAGCAACAACGAAGCGGTGAACGATGAATGTGTAGATTGAAACATTTGATTTTTTTCTTGATGTCGATGTCTTTCCTCTCTGCCAGCCTCGAGAGGGCCCCCCTCGAAGACTACATCCTTGGTGACACGGGAATCCGGGTACCCAAGGGTTGCGTCGTAGGAGTACCGGTGTACGCCATGCATTACGACCCAGAGTTCTTTCCAAATCCAGAGAAGTTCGACCCCGACAGGTGAGGCTATCTGTGTGTGCTGGCTTTGTTCATACTTACTAAAATGTAATAAGTACTAAATGTGTTAATACTATAAAAATAAACAGCCCCTCGTCCTTCCGGAAAGGGGGGGGGGGGGGGTCAAGCGAAACATGGCGTATGCGTGACTGACTTATCGTTATTTATTTATTTATTTATTTATTCATTTCTCATTGTGTAATTCTTCTTCCTAACCTTCGCAACCAACCAACCTTTTTCTTTTCCACTCCGGGAAATACACCTTCAACCACCTAAAGACAAAAGCGATGATAAAGCGTCAAACAATGAAATGCAACAGTGAAAGACTACATAACCATAGTACAGGGTCCTCTGTTATTTCGCCTCCGTTGGAGTGCACCCCATGCGACAGTGATCGAACTAGCTACTCTGGTGTCAGCAGACTAGAACGTTGACGGTCTAATAAAAGCCAAACGTATGGTGTGATAGACTGGGAAAGATGTCAGCTGCGCTGTGACCGTAGTGAACGCGATTCAAATGCAGAATGCTTAACCGGACTGCTCGAGCTACATCTACTCTTTTTGTGTTGTCGTCCGTTTCGCGAGCACCACATTGCCGCTACAGTGATGGGCCTTCAAAGTGCCGGTGAGTTTATGGTTATCATACAGTTCTTCATTTAGTTTTCACTATCACGTGAAATTGTGTTTTACAGAGTAACTTTACTGAAGTGTGCAGCATTGCCAAAGTGAATCAGAACGCCTCTAGTACACCCTATAGGAATGCACCGAATAAAATGAGCTCTAGATTAGTTTTGAGTACGTTACGTGGATACCTCACAGAACGAAAATTGAGCTCGAAGTATCGTCATCAACATTGGTCTGTCCAGAGAGTCTACATGTGATGCAGCGTTTAGGCTAGGGCTAACTGTCCCAACGCGGGAGCGCCTCGCGGTGTCTCCCTAAGGGGGGAGCATTTCTCCGGAGTTGTATACGTCACGCGAAGGCACGTGAAGGGACGTTGGGGGAAAGGCGGCTGCGTCTCTCCTTTAAAAACTGTGAACTGTGATCGAAGAGGCACCGTAGCTCCTGTGATATCTCGAAAGAGATCAACACACAGCTCACACCTAAACACCAGCTTTTTTTTTTTTACTTGTAGCACCTTGTAGCGACAAACAGGGTGGAGCCCACTTCCCTCCCTGGAGTAGCTGTGTTCCTTTGCGCCAGTGTTTTCTAGAATGATTTAGCTGCCATTCAAACAGCTCCGTTTGCATCGCGTTCATCGCTTCGCCCTTGCAGAAAACAATTACTCTTTTTCATACCATGGCCAGTCGTGGCTCTTTGTAAATCAATGCGCGACATCATCCTTCGGCGTAGATGTGCACGGTCATTATACTAACAAAATATAACTTGTTCCCCAACGCTCTTCAAGTTAGCTCATCAGATTGTTTTCTTCCCCGCAGATTCAGTGAAGAGAACATCGGTTCTATACGTCCGTACTCCTACCTGCCTTTCGGAGCCGGGCCCCGAAATTGCATCGGAATGCGGTTCGCTTTGCAGGCTGTCAAGTTATCTCTCCTGCATTCTGTACACAGCGTGCAATTCGTGCCCACGGAGAAAACAGACGTAAGTTCAATTTCCCAATGGACGTTACGGGAGAAATTTGTCGGTTATTTTGAAGAGATACGGCTTACTGCGGTTGCGTTGACTGAAAACTAGTTAAAATTCAAGGTTAATTACCACAAATGTATATTGATTTTATGGTTCCCATCTAAGATTTGTACGTAGATCAGGCGATAATGATTGTGTAGGTAAAATATGTAACAACTACGAGCATTTCAACCTTGAATTTAAACCAATACGGTGCCAATTACACAGCGCAGCCGCTCTCCTCAACAGAAAAGGTGACGTCATAGGTCGCATATAGCGTCTCGGTTGGCATCTAAAGCACAGAAATAGCCAGCTGAAACGCTAAGACGCATAGTGGCACCCGAAGCGAGCCATATCGACATTCGATGAGCAGAGTGCAGGGACATGCAAACGGAATAGAGTGAGAAACGAAGCATACGTCGTCGCGACATAAGCCTGCCGAGGAAAGGCGTGTCAAACGACTATACCGGTATTGCAGACGTTATAGCGTTTAGCCTTTGGTGTTTCATGTTTGCCTCGCGTTGAGGGGCATTGCACTGGCAGCAGTGACCTTCAGCTTTCAGGTATGGTTCAAGATGAAGATAGCAGATGAAAAGAAGCACGCTAAAGCTAACGATAAGAGCCACGGAGGCGTTGGGACCGTAGCGGGATAAACGTTACGGTCTTTAGAATTACTTATGTGTGCCTTCTCTATAGTATAAAGGCACAGATACAAAATATTGACGTGCTCTTATGGTGCCTCTGATATGCACAAAAATTGCTTTTTATTTGACAATCATACAAGCACGAAAGCTGAAACTTGAGCATTATTGGTGGGTGCTGCGAATGGGGTTGGCCGTTAGAGGTATCGCTTAGTGCCGTTTGGGTCATCGTTATGGTGGACAAACAGACAAATGCACAGACAGGCAGAAGGACAGACAAAAGTTTTTGCGTCGAAGTACCCCAAGAAAGACTATCGTCTTTCAAAATCAACATCACGTTATAGCGTAACCACATGACATCACAGCTCACGGAAGTTTCTGACATCATGGTGACATTATCGCATGACATCGACGCTTGGTGAAAAGTAGGTCCACTCACCACAGTGGCCTAGCATTTATAGCATAGAGAAACATACATACATAAAGAGCGGACACTCCCGTAGGGCCTTGTGGCCCAGCTACTGCGCTGCTTTCAGCAGCCATGAGTGGTTGGTCAGACCCGATAATGTCTGCAACATAAGAAAAATAACAAATTTTTGTTTTTTCCGACGCTGGGTTTTGAACCTGAATCCCATGCTCCGAAAGCGAGTGTCTTTCCCACTAGGCTACACACCCATGCTTCCACAAAGGGAATACATGTACAGTGCATCTAAACCACATGAATGTGCCTGCGCAAAAAAAAAAAAAATACAGGAAGAACACTTTCTAGTCATACTTTGCTGTTTTATGTTGCAGGGCATTACACGTCCTCAGCGAGACATGATGTAGAGCGGATGTGAAAAATTGCACAAATAAAATTTCTTGTTTGCAAAAAATTTATGCCAAACTTGGGTGTTAATTGTCCTCCTGAGGAGGCTCAAATGTCTTTAAAAAAGAGTAAAAGCGAGGAAGGGCGCGCCATTTAGCGGTTGGTCAGACGCTTTCTTGCTGGGCCGCGAAAAGACTCCAGTGGCCACCCTTTGTTATAGCGCTCAACGTATGACCCGAAGTTCGCTGGATACAATCTCAGCCACGGCGGCCGCAATTTCTATGCAAGCAAGAATGTTGGAGGCCCGTGTACTTCGATTCGGGTGTTAAAGAAACCCAGGCGGTCGAAATATCCAGTGCCCTCCACTACGGTTTCTCTCATAATCATATCGTGGTTTTCAGACGTAAAACCCCAACAGGATATTTTGTCAAAGGTTTGTACGTCCCAGACGAATTAGAAAAGTAAAGTGAGGTATAGAAAGCTCACAACGCCCCTGGAGACGTCGCAAAACCTCTTTAGTTGCCTTGATGGGCACTATTCAATCAGAAAAGCAAGTAGCTCTCTCAATGGGAGATGATTTAGACTCCAACCAAAAGTTTCGAAGACGTCTCGGAACCGATATGGTTCCTTCCTCAGGGGTGACTGCGGTGGCTACGTAGCAGAGGCGTCTTCAAAGCACTCGCGAGGTGGCTAATGACCCCCCCCTCTCTCTCTCTCTCGTTTTGCCGTGGCTCCTAGTTTAATACCAAACCAGACAGACTTCTGTCAAATGTTTACATTCAGCTCTCTCAATATATCTATGTATTAGCTGACAGTTCCTACAATTTTTTATTTTTTAATTTATTTATTTTGTCATTTGCAGGTGCCGCTCAAGTTTGACATTGGCCTCGGCATTCTGAATACCAAAAACATCACCGTGGGCATCAGGGAAAGGCCCGAGCGATGATGTCGGACCAATATGTTGCACTCAATGTTCCCTTTTCATTGTACAGTATCATCTGTATATACTGCTGTTTAAGATAACTTATTGCATTGATGCCTGTACATAGCGTTTCAAAGGAAAACTTCTATGTACATAAAATCATGTGTTATTTTTTCTTCTAATTATGGCACAGTCTTGAATAAAGTTATTTTCTACCGAATATCTCGCTGAAGCACGCAGAAACACTTCGACGTTTCGACGCAGTCACAGCATGCATGCACTTGTCAAACATAAGGCTACGAAAATCAAAGAATTTAGAAATGTAAAAACAAAAGTCACAGCTTTGCCGCAAAGGCGACACAATGAACGCGATAGCAACAAAAGTGGAAGGTCAGACGCAAAATAGCAAGCAGATCAAAACGTGCCCCGTGTTTCTCACGCACAAATGACGCACGAAACGTACTCACAGGTACATATGAACGCGAATAAGCGTCGCTGTTGTCACTTTGCTGTGCCTGAAAAGCGCGCCTTTTTCGCAAACGGAGGCTGTACAACGATTGCAGTGACCTTTGTGCGCCCCGTAACTACAACAGAATCGTTCCAGTGCAAGCCCGATGCTAGCCCGATGCTAGCCCAGACGTATAATCCTCATCACCGGCAGATAAGGGTGTGAGAGAGATTGTTCACTCTCCTACTTTCCGCGGGCCAAAGTACGCGTGAGAGGTGAGAGCCGCACGCTCGTTGCGTCATCTTGCTGATAATGCTGAAAACACACAAGTGACCCCCCTCCCCCGAGATGCGCGCCAACAGCGGTAAGTGGTAGATATAAATAGCTTGCCGTTTAACGTTGCAAGATGTACCCTTCGGTGCGTCAGTGGTTAACGCCTCGCATTTACGACGTGGAGGTCCCACGTTCGATTCCAGGAGGCGTTTTTGTTGCGTATATATATATATATATATATATATATATATATATATATATATATATATATATATATATATATATATATATATATATATATATACCTGCCTGCCTGTTTACCAAAAGTAAAGGCATTTTTCAGACGCCTTCTCCCCGTAACAATATATATAGTATACGTATACGGTGCATGACATCGACGCCGACGCTGGCGGCAAAATACAGCCGAGAGAGTCCATATAATTGCTATCGCAATAAAAAAAGTATTTGGCCCCACGGCTTCGCGAGTCTCTCAACACGAGCATTGTCGCCTTCCAAAAACGCAATGGCCGCATTCCGCAGCGCATCACTCAAATAACATTCACGCGCGAGCGGGGACACAACTTCGGGTCGCCTGTGAGTGTGTGCGCCCTTACACACATGGGAATTCTGGTTTTGCAGATTAAACTGAGGTCGTATGCGATGTGTATATCTGCTGTCATTGTTACGATTTCAACTCTGAAATTCGTGACTACGTGATATTGGTTTATGCACCTCCTTTTATTGGGCTTAGCAATAATGAGGCAAGAAACGATTGGGCCCTTTCTGTAAGTCAGAAATGCCTGTTACGCTAGCACGCGTCCACGTGCGATAGCATTGACGTCGTCATTTGTACCGGCATCCAGTACGCAGCGACATCCCACAAGGTCCGTCAATGGACAGTTTACATGTGTTGAAGCACAGAGAAGCTAAGTGAAGGAGCTTTATACATACCGGCTTTAGAGAATATTGTAGGTTTTTCGACTGTCATGGCACGTTCAAGTCAACGCCGTGTACATAGGTGTCAGCCACAGTGCTCGACTTTCATCGCTTATGCCCCGGTATTCCTAGAGAGTATATACAGGACCACCACAGCCTAGGCAGAAATGGAATAGTAACTTCGTTTTGTGTGATGCTGTAGTTTATAGAGCCCAATAAAGCCAAAGTGCTTTCTCGTTCTTCGCCCTCCCAGGCCTGCTATAAACTAATTCTTTTGGTCACTTACGCAGACATTCTACAGCACTACAGACTAGGCCGTCTCCGCTATCCTCCAGCTCACGAAAACCTCCCTCAACGTGATGCCATCCTTCAGACAGGTGTCTTTCCCAAACCCCCGGTTTTATAGCGAGGTATACCCCCACCTCGTGACACCAAACTGTAAATACTGCTCACAATCGGCCACCCTCATACACATGGCATGGACGTGCCCACAGTACGCTGACGCTTCTCACACAGAAGATACATGGGAGTCCCTTCTGCGTATCACTTACTCAGCACAGCAGCGCCGGGTAATCGGAGGCCGCGGTGTCCCAAGGGATCCCCGCTGACCACCTCTAAGCAGAGTAACCGACCTCTGAGCCGGTCCCCTCTTTTGAGAGTAATAAAGTTTTGATCATCATCATCATACCCGTACGCCTGTTTATAACTGCCCACAAATCACCGCGCTAATTAATGCGAACAAGTATCCGAAAAATGTGTAGACTGCGTAGCAAAGAACTCACATAAAACAACAGGAAACAAATTAAGGGGAACGTTTTCCAAGCGTGTTTGTACAGTTGCATGCCGTATACCCCGACGGAGGTCCATAAGCACGGAAAAAGTGTGCAGCCACAGTTAAAAACCGGGCAATGTGAACACCGACAAACACAGTCACACAAGGCGCTACGCGCCATGTCTCTCCTTGCCCGCCTGCTTTTGTACAACGATTTAGTCGCGATACGGAGAACCCATCCTGGCAATGCACTGAAGAATACAAAAAAACAATTCAATTGAAATCATGAGATGCATGGGCCTTAAAATTTTGTTATAATGAGACGCTAGCTACGTAATCACATTCACTGAGGCTTCTCAACAGTGACGTGAACAGCGACTGCCCTCCATCAGCGTGGAATCCCGATGGAACACTGTGCAACCAGTGCGCACATGCACACTGGTTGACGAAAACTTTATCCTGTACTTAGCTCGCCTTGACTTAGCTTTCTCCGGTACTTTGCTCGTCTCTGAAACCTCGCGCTCTATGTTTAACTCATTTATTTGGCTGCAAGCGTCAACAGTTGCAGCTATCAATTTGTTTGCGTTATACCCACCAGCGAATTTCTACTGCGTGCACACTGTTAGAAGCCCCGACTAGGAGGATTTGTTTCGCCGTAATGTTTTACGTATGTCCTGCTCGGCTGCCAGCAAGAGAGTACTTCATACGCTTAAAACTGTTCGCGCAAATCACACGTGATAGAGTGAACCCGCTCGTGCCATTAATAACTACGCGTTGATACAAGGGTGAGGGGGGGGGGGGAGGCGAGCATTTTACCTGACTTCAAGTCACGGACCACGTTCAATCTGCGCGTGACCTAATTACTTTTCGTTGTACATGAACGTAAGCAACGTAACCATCAACATGTCCTTTTAGATTGACGAATAAGCAACGTGCAAATGCGTAGCAACGAAGCGCACGAGTATAGTAGGTGATCACTACATATTTCCGGAGCCCTCCGCTATATACGCCGTCTCTCATAATCATATGGTGGTTTTGGGACGTTAAACCCCAGATATCAATTAATCAACCACTGTTTTTGTATAGTGCTGCCCGCAATGAATTGCGCGCAGCACTATACAAAAAACGCGCAATCTCCGAAGCTCGTGACGCTTATGCGTTCATGTAAGCCCATGCGCTCACTTGAGATATTCAGTCATCGAAAATGTCTTCGCTGCAGAAGCATATATGCAAGAGTGAGTGACTACAGCTCTATTCTTAGTTACCCCAGCTTTAATCTTCCTTCTTCCAGCGCATACTGAAAAATACTTTTTCAACACGTACTTCAGTAATTGCATCCGTACCATACTTTGAAATGCTCTATTCTGTGTGTTCGAGTAAAAAACTTCGAAAAGAATAAACCATGTTTACTTAGGTCTGCACCACCGTTAAAAGAAATAAAACAACTTTCATGTGCATGAAAATTTTCAAGTATGAAATGACATGTAGTAAAGTTACATTAAGTCAAAGGTTTTCCGACTGTACATGAGAGTGACATTTTATATAAAGCAATGGAAGTTTCGGGTACAACGTTTTCGTATAGCCTCACTGGCCAGGCCTCTCCCTGATACCCACGGTGACACTCTTCGGAAAGTGAAGGTTGGTGCTGGTGACGAAGTCGAGCGGTACCTGCAAACGTCAGAAAGATAACGGATATGTCATCAACAGCCGCTAATTTCAAAGCATTCGAAGAAAGTGGTTAGCAAGCATGTCTGAGAGAAGCGACTACTGCAAATGCATCGGAAATTTTCCCATTTTGTGACTGCCCCTATCCCTTGGCTAAGCTCTTATCGGATTCAGCCAAGCTTTCAACTGACGCAACCAGTAAAAACTCGTCAAGATAACAGCTAAGAGAGTTCATGTGGGAAGAATAATCGCACCTCGGTGTTCTCCGTGCGCACGAACTGCACTCTGTGTACGGAATGCAGGTGGATAACTTGACAACCTGCCAGGCGAAGCGCATGCCTATACAATTTCGAGGACCGGCACCGAAAGGCAGGTAGGAGTACGAGCGTATGAAAGCGACGTTTCCTTCACTGAACCTGCGTGACGAATGTAGAAAATGTTAACAAATGAACTACCTAGGAAAGCTTTGAGAAAAAGATAATACAACGTTGGTTCAGTGATCATGATCGCGGGTTCACTTACAATAAGTAAAGTGTTTATTTGGACCGGTTGGTACAAGATCAATGAGGCGAAAAAATATTTATGAGGCGTTCTGCATTAACAAGAAAGGTAATATGTGTGTCGGTGCACCTTCAATACCGCTCCCCAGTAATGAATTTGCGTATTCGACAAAGGAAATTATTGCATGATCCCAGTTTTTTCAGACGCATACAAACATAACAAAAGTTCCACGTCACTCTTCTTCTCTCCCTCTTTTTCAAGTTTCGTGTGCTATATATATCCCCATGTATGGAATAAACCTTTGTTGTAACTTCAGCGGCTTCGTTTGTCTCCGTCACTGTCCTGTGTTACACACTGTTTTTTAGCTTCATTAATGCGTTAAACCCTACAAATCAATCAATTAGCTTCATTAATGACTTAGAATCAGCCGCGATTGCTGTGATTTCGGAACACTGTAAAAAAATATATGCTTGGCGTTATAAAAATCCAGGTGCTCAAAACTAATTCACAGCTCACTGGACGCCAGCCACCTCCTGGTGTCCACTTCTCTTTGTGAAACACATACCCCTTGGTGGTCAAGTGGTCAT